AGGGGTTGCGGCACACATCGTTCCAGCGTTATTCCAGCCACAAAAATTGAGAATGTTAGAAGCCATTGCATACAAACCGAGTAAAGCAGCGCTCCTTCTCCTAAAGTCTTATTCATTCATTGGCGGAAGTAACGTCAGCAGGCCTGACTCTGCCCACCTCATCAATTGGGCGCTGCTTTCAATCCAAACAAAGCTTTGAGTTTGATAAATAAAACGAAAGGACGGAGAGGACTCTAATAATTACCGAAAATGTCGTCAAAAATGTCCCGTTTCACCAACGGCATCCGACCATGTGTGAACAAAACAGATACCATTGTAGACGAGCGCTATCACCGCTACGACACTGTAGGTCGCAATGTGTGCCTGAATAATTTATAGATACTATATTAGTTCTGTGAGCTTACTACAGGTCCCTCCAGAATGTTTGGCGCTGTTGGGCTGGGGGGGGGGGAAGTGGATTACGCTTTTCCGCTAGTTTCTTTTGATAGCTCCTGTTGGTTAACATTGTCTTGACTTGATGAAACCTGCAGACTCTTGTCGATTGCAAAGGAAGCTCTTCCTACTGCATAGCTTTACAGGAATTTACAGGTCTCAACAGGAGGCATTGGCAAGGATCGCTGGGAAACTGGCGAAATGCCCTTACTAAGCGGAACAGCGCCGAATATGGATTTGGCTCAAAAATCAAGATTGAAATAAGGAACAAAAGGCAAGTTTCTGAATAGAAATAGCCCAGGAGATAATGCCATAGGATCGCTGTCCTTGCTCATTTCAATTCTAATGTTCAATGTAAAATTTAACCGCAACCAAAGCCTGCCATTACTTTTCCGTCTATATCTGCTTAATACGTGCGCAGAGTATAGTTATTGATTTTACGCGCATAGAATCAATAAGCCTTTAGAATCACACGAATCAGCAGGTGTGTCAAAAAAGCCCGCGAGCCACGAAAAAAATATAGCAGTGGCATAAAACTAAGGACATAGTGCTCATGAAAAACGTGGATATCGATTATACGCACACAAATTTAACACTTGTTTCAAATTTTAACAATCAGAAGGAGCATTGTTCATTTTCAATTTATATGTTGAATTGAATAGCAACCAAAATCCCCCCTCCCCCCTTTGGTTCACACTCTGCTCTGTGCATGTGTAGAATATGGTTATCGATTCCACGCGCGTAAAATCAGTACGCATTCAGAAACCGACAAATTAGTAGTCAAAAGTGTTCGTGTCAAGAAAAATATACAAGTTTCAAAACTTATACACATTTTAAATGCGGGTATCGATTGTACACGCATAAAATCAATAATCGTTATGGATCACAAGCATCGGTGAGCGCAAAAACGAAGTCTATTTTTCTAGGAAATATTTGGAAAGCGTAGGGAGACTCTAGTGGACTAACCGTTGTGAATGGTATCCACTCCAACTTTATATCGTTTGACTTCACTGTTTTTGCATGGATTCTCTTGATGGGCTGGAAAATACATAAGATAATAGAAAATTAACTCAAAAAACGTGGTGGACGACCAAGAAAAAAATGTCAAGGTCTTTGGCTGAGCTTAGGATTCGAAGCTCTCACCTCTTCCATAGGAATAACGTACGGTGGTGGCGGTGCAAGTTGAGCAGTCGGAGGAAAGCGACATTTTTTGACCTTACTTTTTCGTGCCACAATCGCTTATATAGTATCTCACAATAATCCTTCGAGGAGTGTGCCATTGGTGAGTCACCTCATGGGTGCTCGGTTCCTTTGTCGTCGGCTCAACAGCGCCTTCGGTAGACTGCCCTTTGGAGGATTTGGAGGCTGCCCGTTGGAAAGCTGGCGGCTCGGCGGCGACTCTTTAGAGGTGGATTCCATCCAGCTGGGTCAACTGCTAAATGTATCTATAGGATGTAATAGACTGCGGGCTGCACCTCAATTGTTGTTTGCATTTGTAGCTGTTTCTTAGACAGGTAGAAGTGGTTAAGAAGTAACAATAAAAAATTGTGAAAAACTAGTGTAACTTGTAAGGTATATGTATATTGTCTGCAATGCAATATGAATTATGTTTCGCGGCAAAAAA